TGAAAATGTTAGGATTTTTGGCATTGTGACATTATTTTCACTACAATTTAATACATTTCGGAATCAAATTTTCGGATACATCCAGATATCTTTAGAAATGTTTTGATTAAATTTAAATATTAAAAAAATGATTTTTATGTTATTTAAATACAATAATAACAAAGCCAGTAAAACACTACCATGATGTAAAATATTTTGCAATTTAAATCAATTATCATTTATTTATTTATTCATTACTTTCATTCATTAATAATTAGAATTTTGGGATTTATAGTTATGAAAATCTACTATGCAAAAATAGAAAAAAGTCCTAAAAATAGGTTTCATTTTCTATGCAAAGGATAATTTATGTAAGAAAAATAATAAGAAAATAAGATTTATAATAAGAAAAATAAGAAAAAAATATTTATTATAATAAAATATTCTTATAGTATATATAATTTCTTTCTTTTGATTTTGATAAAAAATGACTTTGACATGTTCTACGCAAGTTTTGTAAGATTCACTCTCAATTTCATAATTCTATAGCTTTTAAATTTTGCCCATTTATTACTGGCTTTTTTGCAGTTACTGAGTCCCACAAGTGTATTCCTAAAAAAAGAGCTGCTGCATCTGATGGCAAAAACTTTGATCATGGATCTTCTTTTTACTTTTGTTTTAACAGAATATGACACCCATTCTGCCATTCCATTCTCATGTTTTGGGTTTCCCTCTTGGTAGAAGTCTTTGTGCGATGCAACAAAGAAACTGTGTGGTGCTTTTATTGACCATATATAATTGCTGTCCATTTGAAATGTTTATGGTTATATAAGCCAAAGAAAGAACAGAGAAGGGATGATCTGCTTGAGCGATGTAGAGAGGCATCATATGGAGGATTGAGAGTTACATCGACTTTCTATTTAAAACAAACTGCAAAGAAAAGACTTGTAAGGAATTGATGTAAGATGTGAAATTGGCCTTGTACTTGCTGCAGCAATAAAACAGTTGCCACTCCCAAAACTTTGGTGTGTGTACATTGCCAGTATTGCCACATAACCTTTGAAGAACATGTCTAGCTCATTTCACCCTGAAATCAAAAGAAAGACACTATATTTTGCTTAGGAAATAAAGTCTACATAATGTTTTTATCATTGGGCATTATTTTCATGACAATTGATCATATCCCCTCCTCTCAATTCTCATTACTGTAATGCAAAGAAAATCCAATTCTAATCACTATAATGAAAAAAGCAATGTTGTATATTATTTATGTCATCATTTATGTTGTTGCAAACACAAAGAGTTCCTTCCTTGGATAACAAAAGCTTTCAAGCTTCAAAAGGATACCAAAGTCCCATAAAAGTGGTTCCTATGACTTGTGCGCTATGTTCTTCTGTCTTCAGAGGCCTTAAGATTTGGGATATTCCACACAAGTCATATGAGCATCTCGGTTATGTATGTAACCCTCATTCACTGATGGAGGGAACGGAGACATTATGTCGTGACGACATAGGGGGTTTACTTTTAGAGAAAACGCCAATGAATTTTGGATAGTGGATTTTGCATACCTGAGCCACTCCCTGTGCATACGGGTTTAAATAGGTGACAGGTGCATCCACTCATCAGGTTTTACACTGAGGAGCCGAGAACGTGTCCCTGGCAAACAGCGATGGTTCAAGGTTGTGGCATGGAGACATAACGTCTCCGTTCCCTCCATCAGAGAACGAGGATTACGTACGTAACAGAGACGTTTCCTATCTGTCGGTCACTACGAGTTATGTCGTGACGACATAGGGGGTCCATGAAAAGCACCACAACCTGAACCCCGTCACAACCCTATAGCGCTGCAAATGTTGTCAAACAAATGCTACGCAAAGGTCGTAACCTTACCAACGCCCCATCGCAAATTCGCTGACCTTGGTGCCCGCAGGGACCAAAAGGTGAGTACATCGCTGCTGGAGATAGCCAAGCCGCTGTTCCTATGACAGAATATTTTTTCTTAAGAGAAGGGATTTCGACCTTCATGAAAGGTGCGTCATGGCTTTCCTGTTTGTTGTTTACAGCTTTGGCAGTAACGAAGGGGAAGCGAGCCTTCCGGAGAAGGGTGCTACGGAGACCACATCCTGCCCATAGGGAGGTATCATGTGGAGACACTAATATGGACTGACCCAGGCCTGGGGCAGTACTACATATGGAATGGGTCTCTGAGGCAGGTCCTACCTAGGAGTAGGGAGGAACGGCTGCCAGCAGAGACTGACAGAGGGGTCTGTCAAAGGGAAGACACGGGTTCACCAAGAGGGAAACCTTACCATGGAGAAATACACATATGGGATCGCCCACAGGGAATCAAGCAATATGGACACCTAGCCCAGTAAAGAGGCTGACCGGAAACCCAGGCAAGCTAACACTGATACTGGGCCTGGCGTCAGACTGCTGGAGGATACTCAACCAGGGTTTGTCATCTGGGGAACTTACTGGAGGAGGAAAAGCGCTCGCATCCCCTGGTGAGGGGGAATGGCGCAGCAAGCGTGACACTGGCTGGCTCTTCCCGCCACTTACCGGTTACTCAATAGATGGGAAGAAACCGGCTCAACACGGAGACTGTAAAAGGTGTTCGGTGTCGCCCAGCCCGCAGCTCTACAAATGTCTGCCAGAGAGGTGCCGTGTGCCAGCGCATAGGAGGAGGCAACACTCTGTGTGGAGTGAGCCCTCACCCCCAGGGGGCACAGCTCGCTTTGGGATTGGTACGCCAAGGCGATGGCATCCACTAGTCAGTGGGCCGACCTCTGCTTGGAGACAGCCTTCCCTTTTTGCTGACCTTCATAGCAGACAAAGAGCTGCTCAGAGCTTCTGAAGCTCTGAGTGCAGTCCATGTATATGCACAACGCACTTACGGGACACAGCAATGCCAAGGCTGGATCTGCCTCCTCTGAAGGCAGTGCTTGCAGGTTCACCACCTGAAGGTGTGGTGGGAACCTTGGGCACGTATCCAGGCCGGGGTCTCAGGACAACATGAGACTCTTCGCTCACTGAAAATGCTTGGGGGTCCCTGACCCTCTTGATGGAAGTGATCGCGGTCAGGAGCATTTCTTAGCAGACAGGAACTTAAGCTCAACTGAGTCCAGCGGCTCAAAGGGATCCCTCTGAAGGCCAGCCAGGACAGTAGAGAGATCCCAGGAGTGCACCAGGGGTGGCCTAGGAGGATTTAACCTTCTGGCACCCCTCAGGAACCTGACGATGAGATTGTGCTTTCCCAGGGCCCAGCTGTCCACTGCATCGTGATGTGCTGCGATAGCAGCCCCATACACTTTCAAGGTGGAGGGTGACGGCCTACGCTCCAAACTTTCTGCAGGAAAGAAAGCACTACTCCAATCGTACATCTTCGGGGGTCTTCTCGGCGAGAAGAACACCAGTTCACGAACAGACTCTACTTCAGAGCATAGGCTTGCCTTGTCGAGGGAGCTCTAGCCTGAGTGATCGTGTTTACCACCGCCGCGTCCCGTCCAGGAGCCACACGTGGCGGTCCCAGGGATCTGGACACGGGTACCATATGGTGCCGAGCCCCTGAGAAAAGAGGTCCTTCCTCAGAGGGATGCGCCAGGTAGGGGCTGTCGCGAGGACCATGAGTTCCGAAAACCAGGTGGGCCAGTACCGGGAGTAATACAGTTGGCAATGGGTACGACGAGTAATACAGCTGGCAATGGGAGGACTCGCGGGAAGCAAACAGGTCGATCTGGGCTTCCCTGCATCTGAATCCAGAGGAGGAGATGACGGGCGAGCTGTGACATGCGACATGAACGTAGACCTCCCTGCCAGTTGATGTACGACACGGCCGCAGTGTTGTCCGTGTGAACCAACACGTGCTTGTCCTGTAGCAGTGGCCAGAACTGCTGTAAGGCGAGATGCACTGCCAACAGCTCTAGGAAGTTTATGTGCCAAAGCAGTCGAGGCCCCATCCAGAGCCCCGAGGCTGCCTGCCCGTTGCATGTAGTACCTCAGGCTGTACTGGAGGCATCCGTCGTGACAACGACATGCTGGGACACTTGTTCTAAGGGCACTTCGGCCCATAGAAAGGCAAGGTCTGTCCAGGGGCTGAATGAGCGACGACACGTCAGCGTGATGGTCACGTGAAGTGAACCACAACGCCATGCCCATCTCAGGACTCGGGAGTGTAACCAGTGTTGAAGTGGTCTCATATGAAGCAATCCAACCGGCATGACTGTGGCTGCGGATGCCATATGCCCCAGAAGCCTCTGAAAGTGTTTCAGAGATACCACTTTCCTGCCTCTGAAGGAACTCAGGCAGTTCAGCACTGACTGGGCACGCTCGCTGGTGAGCCACGCCGTCATACTCGAGAAAAGAGATTCTCTGCACGGGGAGAGTTTGCTCTTTTTCCAGTTGACCCGAAGCCCCAACTGGCTGAGGTGCTGGAGCACCAGGTCCCTGTGATTGCACAACTGCTCTCGTGACCGGGCGATGATGAGCCAGTCGTCGAGGTAGTTGAGGAACCTGATGTCCACTTCCCATAACGGGGCAAGGGTGCCCTCCACGACCTTCGTAAAGACACAGTGGGACATGGTGAGATACTGCCATGCCCGACCCTCGAACACAAACCGTAGAAACGGCCTGTGTCAAGAAAGAATCAAGACATGAAAGTAACCATCCTTCAGGTCGTCCGCCGCAAACCAATCCTGGGGCTGGATGTATCTGATGATGCGCTTCTGCATCAACATCTTGAACGGAAGCTTGTGAAGGGCCCGATTCAGGACTTGCAGATCCAGGATCCAGGACCGCCTTTCTTGAGCACATTGAGAGCGGCCGTCAGCTTACAGGCTTTGGACGGGAGACGCAGACGATTGTCTACGTACCCCCTAGCCGCCCCGCTATCAAGGGTAGTGAGGAGGGAGACGAGCGGCTTCTGCCTGTAAAAAGGGCCGTCCACGACTTCATCAGCTCCTCATGTACCTCCGGGAAAAAAGGCACCGGCGCCCGGCGTGGTTGTGAGCCGCACCCCGCTCCAAGAAACCAATCATCCAGCCGCTAGATGGCGGGACTGGGAGGCGTCCACACCTCCATCCCGATACTCGTGGCTGCCCGTGAAAGCACGGCCATCAACACCCGAGAGGGGTAGCCCCGCAATCTTCATCCTCGGGGGATGATAGCCCATCCCCTGCGATCGACATCCGATCCTCCAGCGGTGCACCGAATGAAATGCTGGGACCGTCACAAGCCAGGCCAGCGAAATCACTAGGGAGCTGCATGGGACATTCGCTGCGGGAGGAGTGAGAGGTCCGCGGGGACGTGCCCGGCAGAGAAGCTCTCACTGTGACGGGGAAACCGGGATGGGTAGAGACAGAGGGTGCCGCTCCGTTCCCCGTGAGGAGAGAGAGGCGAGATCGCAGCGAAGCCATGCTCATACGCTAGCAATGAATGCATGGGTCATCCACGAATGCAGCTTCAGCATGTTGGGTGCCCAGACACTGAAGACAACGCTCGTGGCCGTCAACAGAGGGCAGGTAACGACCGCAACCAAGAGAACACGGATGGAACAGCATCTTTAAAAAGACGCGAGCCGTTCGTGATGAGAAACTGCTCTTTTAGTTGAAGCACCCAGGGGAATCACTGAATCAACAGTGACACCGCTGTTTGTGCCGTCACGCCAACCAGGAACAGCTTCTTTCTTCCAGTCAGAACGAAAAGGCTTTGTGGAGAAGAAATCATTCACCCACTCGGCTCCGAAGCAAAAATCTGAATGAGTGGATGCACCTGTCGCCTATTTATACCCGTATGCATGAGTGGCTCAGGTATGCAAAATCCACTAGCCAAAATTCATTGGCGTTTTCTCTGAAAGTCAGAGCTGATTGGGGCTCTCAAGTAAACCCCCTTTGTCGTCATGACATAACTGGTAGTGACCGACAGATAGGGAGCCACTTTTATGATTCAAAAATGGCACAGAAGTTCTAGTCCTCGTTTATGTTTATTTTGCATCAAGATAATGTCCTAATCACACAAAATCTTAATGCTCATAAAACGGCTTTATCTTATTAATGTCAAATATAATTTATATTGTTTTTCTATGATTTTGGGGTCAAATGTGTCAAGTTCCCACGAGATTAACCCAAATATACACACAACTGTTCAAAAGTTTGGGATTGGTCTTTTTTTTTTTTCGAAAGAAGTTTTTCATCAAGGCTGTATTTATTTGATAAAAATACAGTAAAAACTGTTATTTAGTGAAATTTTAAATACCTGTTTTCTATTTAATTTTTAAAATGTCTGAATTTTCAGCAGCCATTACTTCAGTCTTCAGTATCACATGATCTTTCTGAAATGATTTTAATATGCTGATTTGGTGCTCAGGAAACATTTATTATAATCAATGTTGAAAACAGTTTTGATGCTTAATATTTTTGTTGAAACTGTGTTTTTTTTTCAGGATTCTTTGATCAAGATCTTTTGATTTGAAATAGAAATGTTTGTAACATTATAAATGTCTTCACTGTCAGTGTTCATCAATTTAATGCATCCTTGCTGAATAAAAGTATTAATTTTTTTTTGAAAAAAAAAAAAACATCCCAAACTTTTAAACCGTTCAGAAAACAAGAATGGTAGAGCCTCCTCTAAAAATCATTATGCTTTAACTATAAACTGTGAAAACTCTCGCATTTCCTTTTTCTTCATCTGTGCAGGACTTTACTATGACATTATACCTGAGACACTACTGGAAGGATGAGCGCTTGTCTTTCACCAGCACCACAAATAAAAGCATGACTTTCGACGGGCGCTTGGTGAAGAAGATCTGGGTTCCTGACGTCTTCTTCGTCCACTCTAAAAGATCTTTTATTCATGACACCACCACAGAAAATATCATGCTGAGAGTGTTCCCTGATGGTCACGTTCTTTACAGCCTGAGGTAAAAAAGCAGATTATCTACACCGGCATTTCTGACTTTTAAGTGAGCCATTATAATTCCAATTATTTGTAAGTTATGTACATATGTATAGAGTTTAAATGTATTTATGTAAATGTACTTATACATATTTATTCTAATTCCTGTTTATTTTGTAAACTGTTAGAAAAAGTTAATATTTTTGCAGTTGTTCAGCAGTTACTACATTTCACCTTCAAGCAACTTAACTACTGCATGTGGTTTCATTTAAATATGGTTTGAAAACAAAAGCACGTCGGTGGGCTTAAGCATTTGCATATTGCTGCGGTGTTAAAATTAGAACGATGCTTCTGGCCTGTGATGTTTTTGCTGTGTCTTTTGTGCTGTGAATGAAAAATTAGGCCAAGCTACCTGCGTGCAGGCTATAATCAAGGGCTAGCGCTGAGTTCAAAGTCAAATTTCAGACACTGTTCTGGCTCCAGGGAAAGTGTCATTATTGATGGGACTGGCCCAGATTATTTCCGTTTTCCGACAAATGATGGACACCACTGTAGAGAACAGAGGAGAGAAATACGGAGAGAAAAGTGAGACGGTCTTAGTGTCAGTTCAGTAAATGGCGCTAGTGTGCCATTCTTGACTAGCATTACTAAGCACATTTACATTGCATTTACATTTTTATTCTTAGCAGGAGCTTTCTTACCAAAGCTACTGTCATTCCAAGCCCATATGATCTTCTCTTTTTTGTGGAACATAAAAGGAGATGTTTAGTAGAACGTCCAAGCTGCTCTTTTACGTCCATAATATTGGACACAGAACTACCATCAAAAACACTGAAACTCAAAACCCCCAAAATAAAAGTTTGGTGTAATTTAAAAAAATTATGAAGAAACATATTACTATTGTGTGCTAAAATGTACTTCTTTAAAATAATACTAATACTGATTAGTACTGAGAAATGTCATACAGCCAACATATTTTTTTCCATGTTTTAATTTATACAGTTCTGTTGTGCAGCATCTTAGTTGACTTAGTTTTATTGTAAATTAATTAATAATTTTATTTTCATTTGATTACATTTTAAAAGATTGATTACTTTGTTAAAGTCTTCATTTTATTAGCCACCATTTTTGATGATAAATTTGTCTTAAATCATAAAAAACAGTGCCCAGAAGAATGGAAAACACGGAATTTAGCCGTTAAAAAAAATCTTTCCATGGAGACCTAAATTAAAAGGCATCTTACTCTGTGAAGTTTGTGAACAAACAATTTGTTTACATTCATTCTTAAGGTTTAACAAACATATGGAAAGCGTTTCTTTCGCTATTAACGGTAAATTAATATTTATGATAAATATCAATGTATGATATGAAAAAAATATTGTGATAATTTTTGGACATGTTGCCCAGCCCTACAAGTAAGTCATACAAGTTTGGACATGAAGGTGAGGAAATGATGACAGAATTTTCATTTTTGGGTAAACTGATCAATTACCAATTTCATTTGAAACCGCATATGAAAATTCCATGGATTTTTGGGTTCGAAAAGTGAATAAAGCAGGTGTCTGTGTGGAATATGATGAAATATAATGATCTAAGACGGTGGGCTTCTGTATTTTCATCCGTGTTATACATGGTTCTTGTGCCCAGGGTCACCGTTACAGCAGCCTGCAACATGGACTTCAGCCGTTTCCCGCTGGATTCACAGTCCTGCTCTTTGGAGTTGGAGAGCTGTGAGCGAATCATTAATTTGTGTTATTTTTAGTGCGGCACATGCTCAATTCACTCTGCCAAGCTAGTTTTTCCTGAAATGGATCCTTCTTTTCTAGACGCCTACACGGATGAGGATCTGATGCTGTACTGGAAAAGTGGAGATGAGTCTTTGAGTATAGATGACAAAATCTCTCTCTCTCAGTTCCTCATACAGAAGTTTCACACCACCTCTCGACTGGCTTTCTACAGCAGCACAGGTATTGGGGGATTATTTGTCAAGTTGATTTATTTCAAGTAGTGTGGCCCCAAGACAGATTTGGACACTTAAGTCACACTTAAAAGTGTATGAATGGTATTACATTAAATATCAAAGCAAGTGGCATCTGACTGCAAGCATATGATGCTTTCCTCAGAACTAACTTTAATTCTCTGAGCTGGTTTTTCAGTGACATTTAATCAACTGGTGCCACTGGTTTATCAGATTGTGTTCAACAACCACAATGTGTCCTAATTTTGGATTTTTATTTAAAATTTACAGTCTAGCAAATGTATTTTTTAAATATTTAGCTTGTGCTGTCTTGTTTTAAAATATACTACTGTTCAAAAGTTTAGGGCCAGTAAGACTTTTGAACTGTAATGTAATGTAGTAATTTCTATTTAAAATTTAATCAAAGAATCCTGAATAAAAATGTATCATGGTTTCCACAAAAATATCATATTATAATATAATATAAAATCAGCATATTAGGGTGATTTCTGCAGGATCACGTGACATTGAAGACTACAATGATGCTGATCATTCAGCTTTGCCATCACATGAATAAATTACATTTGAAAATATATTAAAACAGAAAACAATTATTTTAAATTGTGAAAAATTTTAATAATATTTCACTATGCATAGTACAATATTTCAAGTGTAGCTAAAGTGTTCACTAGGTTAATATGTGACTCCATCTGTATTTTTATCTCTTTCTCTCTTTAGGGTGGTACAACCGCCTGTATATAAACTTTACGCTTCGCCGCCACATTTTCTTCTTCCTGCTGCAGACTTATTTCCCTGCCACACTTATGGTTATGTTGTCATGGGTATCGTTCTGGATTGATCGCAGGGCTGTTCCAGCCAGAGTTTCATTAGGTAAGATTATCGCAAATCAACATTTTTGCCTCAGGCGTCAATGTTGCTTCCTATGTTAAGTTACGCACCTGCAGATTTTAACAGGATGTGCTGATTTTATCAAGGTATCACCACGGTGCTCACCATGTCCACCATCATCACTGGGCTGAACGCCTCCATGCCCAGAGTCTCCTACATCAAAGCTGTGGACATTTACCTGTGGGTCAGTTTTGTGTTTGTGTTCCTGTCCGTCTTGGAGTATGCAGCAGTCAACTATCTGACCACGGTCCAGGAGAGGAGAGAGCGTAAGCTCAGAGATCGAGCAGTTAGAGAGCAGGTAAAAAAAATAGAATTGGTTAAAGAAACAGTACACACCCAAATGAAAGTGTATGTTTTTTTTCAAGACCTCATGACATGAAATGGAGGGTTTTGTTGCTCTAACTAGTCCATATTTATTAGCTTTGATGGTAATCTGAATGCTAACATACAACTTAAAATAAGCTGGAAAATGTGATTAAAATCAATAGTCTTTCTATTCTAGAAAACTGTTCCAAAATATTGATGAAAATATAAACATTTCAATGTAAAGTATGTTTTACTGTTGTCACATGACCTCATCATAATGCATATTTAATTTGGTTAGTTCTGTCATATCAGATCTCGGAAATAAATGTTAATTTGCTAAATTTATTAAAGTATGTATGTGTTTAAAAAAGTCTTCAGTTTTAGCAGTCCAATCAAATAATGAGTAAGGAAAGAGATTTTTAAGAACTGTTGAAAATCACAGCTGATATGACTACTAAACTGGAAATGTAAAGTTGAACGTATTTTTATACTCGTTTTACATTATGCAGTGTTTTCCAACTGTAAATCACTACTTTGTCATGACGTCATGACATTTTCTGTGTGACCTCATGATGTAAATGTAAATAAAAATAGAATAATTTTAATCCCATCTTGCATATAAATAACTTGTAATTTCAATCAAATATTCAATCATAACACAAAATATTGTGTGGATATTTTGTCCGACTCATCCATTAATAGAAAGTTATGTCCACCACATTGCACTGTGGGATATTGTACTTCACACAGTGTACACGTTTTAAATTTATGTCTGTGCATACAGAAATTTTGCCTACAATGAACTGTATACAATATACATACTTAATATTATAAACTACTCATGTTAAAAGGCTATTGGCATTTTTTTTTCATATTAAAAAGCCATTGGCATGCCTTCTACTGTATATAGAGTGCAACAGTGCCCGCCAACTTTATCACTGGCCTTGGTTCATTTAAGTATTTTTCCATTTAATTTTTTCCCCATATGAATTTTCAGAGGTCTTTGTTTAGGAGTTATATGAAATGAACCAAGCCATCCAGCTAGGATGTGAATTATTAAATAAGTTTCAATAATGTAAGCTGTTGGCTTCAACAGAATCATATTTCTATCGATTAGCAACCTCGTAGCTCACAGTTTATAAATTATTATTAAAAATCAGGGCCCGTATTCACAAAAGATTTTAACTTGACACTAAGAGTGCTCCTAAATAGCAGTAAAAGTTTTTTAGCAAAGAGTTTACTCTTAAAACCTATTCACAAAGCTGCTGAGACAACCTTTTTCTAAGGAATAGAGAGAAGTCTTAAAGTCGAAAGCCGAAAGTTGCTGCTGACTGTATTTCAGGCGACTGGTTGTTAACGTAACCGATGATATTCAGAGAGTTAAATGACTTGGCACAAGCTGATTGGTTCATCCTGCATATGCAGCCAATGAGCTTACTGCCTTGCATTTATATGGCTGGCTAGCATTCACTAGAGATTCCTGCACCGTGTCTTCAGAGTTTCTCTGAAACCCTCCACCTTCCCCAGCTCCACCTGTATAGATCTGCTATGGGTTATTTTATATGCTATTTGTGCAGCAGCAGTATGTCTTAAATACTCACGGCACCGTATCGCCGTATGCATTGGCAGTAGCAAGTTCCTGTACTTGCTTGCAGCAGCAGCAATAATCTACAATTACAGCAATAACCAACATCAGCAGCAATTCAGCAGCAGCGTAGTAGATCTATTCCGCCAAGACCAAATACATTAACATTGTCATATCCATCACCATGCTAAAATCTTCCGAGAGTTGTCATGATTGAAGTATAGTACATTTTGATTTCATGCGGACTTTAAGCTAAGAGTAAGGGCGGAGTTGACCTGGTTGCTATGGATGATGTCAGCATGCTTACTTGCTATGCACACAGTGATTGGCTGATAGGGGAGGGGTCTCTATCAGAGATTTATTCATAGAAATATTGTAGAGTGCAATATTATGTTGCCATATTCAAATAAAATGCAGGTGAATTGTCACTAATTAAACAAGTATATGTTCAGCTAATTGTCAGCCTCTTACATGTATGCTTCTCATAAATATAAACAGCTTTTTAATTAACAGAGTAGAATACTCATGGCTGATAGTAAGACATGCAAACGTAAAAGAAAACCAAACTGGACACAAGAACAGCTGTTACTTCTTGCCCAGCTGGTTAATGAAAACAAGGATATAATCAAAGGATAATTTGGAGTTGGGATAACCTCCAAAACCAAAGGTGATACCTTTTTAAAAACTCAAATATTTCCAAAAATGTTTGCGTTCCGAGGCAGATTTTAGGATTGTTTGTGGCTTGGTCTTAGTGACTTAGGAGTCCTCTTCACTACTCCTAAAGTTTCACAGATTTAGGAACTAGTTTTAGTGCTAAAACGCTTTGTGAAATACTCTTAGAGCAAAATTTAGGAGTTCTACATTTAGGACTGACACGCCCATTGCTTTTAAGATTTTCTTCTAAATTGGCGAGTTATGAGCTACTTTTAGCCTTCAGATGCTTTGTGAATACGGGCCCAGTTCTGTGGAGAAAAAGAATAGAATTTCGACCCCACATTTTAGCAGGAATTACATCAACACAGGAAAGAAAAATTGTGTCGTAACACATTCCCTCTCTCATCACACTACTAATGGTTGAGTAATGTTGATAAGATCGTCAGCCATCAGCTAATATACGCCAACTGATAATTTGCCCTTGTTAATGATCTCTCTCTTTGTTCTCTGATCTCCCTGATCGCCCAACTCAACCGGTTGCAGTCATTGCCCTGCGCCTGTGGTATGTCCCACACCAGGACCATGATGTTGGATGGGACCTACAGCGAGGCTGACACCAACAGCTTGGCTGGCTACACAGAAGCTCCCATGGTTCCTGAGGAAGTGGTGCCAGAGAAACAGGAGCACATGGTGGTTCACCTGTCAATGAGCAGCGAATCTACCAACACTAAGAAAAAGGGCATCCGCGGCTTACGCATCATGCAGAACACGCATGCCATTGATAAATACTCCCGCATGATCTTCCCGGGAGCCTATGTTATTTTCAACCTTATTTACTGGTCGGTGTACTGCTGATCGTTCTCCAGCTACATCCATCTTTTACTCTTTTTTTTTTTTTTGGGACTTATGGAGGTTTTATACAACCATCCTTGATATTTTGATGCACCTCAAACATTGGCTCATGTGATACCAAACTGCAGTTACCTTTGTCACTTTTCATAGGCAAAAAGACTGGCGAAATGCAAAGTGAAGGCGGGTTAGAAAGCGCTTCATCTTGAAATTGCCTTGCTTACAACATCGAACACTGAAGGTGATGGTTCATTTTGGCGGGATGATGTTATTGCACATACAGGCATCACATTCAAAATTAAAAATGTATATAGACCTACAAATATGTTGTATTCTTCAAATGCAGTACAGATGCATGCAAGTGAAGGTTATTGTTAGTTATTTTTCATTACATTATCACTCTAAATGGCCATCCTAAGATAATAATGAATAGATTATATTAAAATATTAAAGTGAAGAAAATCAGAACTATAGCCTACCTTTTAAAAAAGCATTAGGCTACTACTGTTTCCAGACAGAAGGACATTTTTATTTATTTATTTAGCATCTCTTTTAGCTTTCACAGCTGAGTCACTAGTCAGCACCATGGGATATTTATGAAAGCATATACAAATCAGTCAATAATAAAGTCATCCTGACTGTCCATTCAATAAAGTCAAATAGACTCTTAGAGATTTTTATTAATAATTTTAAGCAGTTGAGCTGTGCAGTTGTGACTTCAGTTTGTAGGCCAATCTGGAAAGCTAATTCACTGTGTTCCCTCATGAAGAGACTTTCACGTCTTGTTCTAGCAATGTTGTCTACAAACCTTTTTTTTATTCATAAATTAAAATGGCTATTCTAATGTGAAATTCCTGAGGGAGTCCATGGCTCAGAAATGCTCATTTTCTTCCCAAGTTGTTTGGGATTTATAGATCATTTACCTCATTTTCAATAGGTTAATAAAAAACAAAAAAAGCTATTTATTCATGTGATATTTACAATATGGTTATTTTATCAGCACTAAGACATTCTTTTTAATAGTGGTGAGTTCAATGGGCTTGAAACCATCATTCATTAATTGAGCTAATGCTAGATATGTCATATTTATAATAAATATTTGATTCGTTTTTGTGTCTGAGTAATATGCTGGGAAAAACCCATTAGGTGTGCTAAACTCCCTTTTAAAAAGCTAATTAAAAATAATTCCTTGATACTCAGACTTTTATGCCATTTTTCTCTCAGTACTGAGGGAGGTTTATTGGTGAGGGATGTTATTTAGGTATTAATGCATTCGTTTTTATTACATTTATTTTGATTAATTATTAAAAAAAATTTCGCCCGCCATAACGGTTAGTAAAGCCCGCTCTATTTTTGAATGGTCACGTGCGCTTATCAGTTACTCGGCGGATGTGCTGCTTCTGCCTGATCTCCTCCTCGACCGGCCCAAGCAACTGACAGGCCTGCATTGACTTCCTGGCGAATTACTGCAACTTTGTAGCTTGAGGAGCAACTTAAGGTAATTTCTTATCAAAAATACTCGCATCAGATGCACATATATCCGTAAGTACGACCACTTTATCGGTTGTTTGAGATCTGTACACACAGTCATTTCTGTGTGGCTGCATTGCTGTTCTGTTACTTTCTGAACACAAAGTTTACAGCTTATAAAGTGTAACACGGTGGGATTTAATGCACTTAACTGTGTCCGCATGCTTCATTCGAGGCAGTAATCCTCTATATTTTGTTGTTACACTAAATTATATGTGTCTTTAAGGTTGCATTTATGTGGTAACGTATACAGATTCAGCCAGAGAACAGACCTTCAACTGCTCCATGTATGCAAATCAGCGTATAATCGTGTAAAGGAGAGCGGGGGGTTGTTTTGGTTGTGACTTGATATGATTATCTGTGTTTATAACAGCGTTAAACTGGACAGATATGAGATATAGGTGGATATGATTTCATTTGAGAAGCATTTGTTTCTTGTAATCTAATGTAACATGCAATTTAAGCTATGTATTTTCTTTGGACTGTAATGTTCAGTGTCCCTTTATCATCCCTTTATTTAATCATATGTAATCTGTATTCAGAGTGAGTGTGTGTGTGTGTGTGTGTGTGTGTGTGTGTGTGTGGACCTACTGCATACATTTCAAGGCCAAACCAATGGCAGTAGGGATTACAGTGTTCTCCAGATGTATTGTTTGCATATTTTCATATGAAAAGGGTTATGGGAATGCCAGAGAAGGGAATGCTGTGGGAGATATGACTCATGCAGGAAAGTGGCTTATAATTCTTTTTAGGGCGCCCTCTGTACAGAAGAAAAAAAGGCCACATTTGGCTCTGCTTTCCATTCAATCTCTTGTTTTGAAAGAACATATGTAGCCACAAGGAATTGTGTTTCGTGCCCCCTAAAAAAAGTTATGCAGCAGCATGGCCAGTGTTCAGGGTTTGGCGGGAACATTGCACTGTAGGGTGGAGTGGTTTGGTGGTTACTAATATTGGCTGGTAACAAAAGCTGTTTGGTTCAAAGCAGCTGCCAGGGGTGATTCATGAACTGTCACCATTTGTGAGCACAGCAAGCCCGCCAAATTCACGTAATTACTACAGTTTGTTGTTACTACTATAAAAGTGTCTAGAGTTTTTATATTTATATGGGATTTCCTTCCAACACGGTACGATCCTGTCATGTTCATTCTGCTGCTTTTTCTGTTATACTTCTGTTTTGTTTAATTTTATTTTTAAATGGCAGTAATACCTTTTAGTATGTGTCTCCTTGAAATCAAACCTATGACTTGGCATTGTCTACTAGAGACGTTTTTGAGGAGTGGAAATATTAATGTATCATATACACTACCATTCAAAGGTTTGGGATAAGATTTTTTTTTTTTTTGAAAGAATAAGTCTTTTATGCTCATCAATGCTGCTTAAAAATACAGTAAAAACAGTAAATATTTTAATATATTTCAGAGTAGCTATTTTTAATATATTTATATTTCAGCTTCAGTGTCACATGATCCTTCAGAAATCAATATGCTGATTTAGTGCTTTTTAAAGTGTTGAAAACAGATGTGCTACTTAGAACAGTATTTATTTGAAACAGAAATCTTTTGTAAGATTATAAATGTCTTTGCTGTCTATTTAAAACAGTATAATAAAAGTATTAATTTCCTTTAAAATTCTTACAGACCCCAAACTTTTGAATGGTAGTATATATAAATAGGAGAAATTGTAATGCTAATCATCGCTTTTTGTTGGGGGCGTTACGGTGCTCAGAATAGCAGCTGTAGGAATGGAAAGTCCCGCCCTTTACTTCAAAGATTCAATTGCCTGTTTGTTTACTCCAGAATGTGCATTAGCTGGTTGATTAGAGCTAAAGAAACACAATTTATGATACCATTGTTATTCAAACTATATTCCAGATTTGAAATGTTATAGACATAATTTTGACCAGATTTCAGTCTGTAAATAGCTGCTCAGGGGTGTTATCAGTGAACAGACCTGCCTTTGGATTTGCCAGTTGGCCTCCAGAGACACTTTAGTGATTAAAAAGTGATTAAAACGAATGTGTGCTGTTTTGGAATTTGGAAATGAAATTCACCGCTTTTTTGGAATTTAGAAAATGTGTTTTTGCATTAGGTCAGCCCTAACCTAATGACCCAGCAAGAGCAGCATGAGTTCAGGGAAAGTTTGGCAGAAGCCCTTTCCTGGATGCAGGCCGTCCAGGAGAGGCTTAAGCAAAACGATAACACCCAAGGACCCAGATCAGCGCTGGAGGTCAGGCTCCGAGAAACAGAGGTGAGACCTTCCTTAACCTTTGGCCTATTGAGGGTGTGGTCCGATCTCGGTTTCTCATTTTAATTTCTCAAAAGCTTTTGAGACAGTTTCCCAAGAGATATACAGACTCATCAATTTAAAATGTAAAATTTCCATTTGTTGTAAAGAAAATTCATAGCTCACAGCCTGAAGGCCATGTAAAGATGGACAGGGTGTTGGTGGCTTCTGAAGCTCTGCTTCGAAATGGAGATGAAGAGATGAAGAATCAGACTCTTTCGAAACTCAAAGATATAAAAGCACTCTGGGAGGAGACGTCAACCTACATCATTCATTGTCACAGGTACAGGCTTTGTCTATAGTAGTATAGATCGTCTATAGATCGTCTATCTAGCTGTCTGTCTATAAAATAAAAACTGTAAAAGTATTTAATTTATTTTATACTATATATATATATATATATATGTATAGTATAAAATAATAAAGAGTTTCGAACAATGGAAAATGCTGTATATCCTTGCATCTGAAAATGTATTTATTAATTTGATTATTTTTGTGCTCCTCTGACAGTCGTATCGAGTGGGTGTGGCTGCACTGGAGTGAATACCTGAAGGCCTATGAGGAGTTTGAGATGTGGCTGGAGAAGATGCACAGGTCTCTGGAGCCTCTGCTTGAGATGCAGCTGGGTCTCCAAGAGAAGCTGTGGCAGGTGGATCATCTGCGGGTCCTTCACAGTGACATTCAAGCACAGGCTCAGTTTCTAGAGAGGCTTCTGGATGAGGCTGCAGGCCTGTTCAACCGCACCGAAGACCCTAGCGTAGATGAGAAGGCTCAGCTGGGTCTTCAAGATGCCTATGACCACATTCGAGACCGAGCACAGGTAAACCTTGAGTTTTCTTTTCTTATCACTGACAACCAAACAGCCTAACTGAATTTGTGTGGTGACTCATTTCAGAATATTTTCGAGTTTTGTAGGTAATGCCTTTGTTCTACATTAAAATGCTGCATTTGAAGGATTGGAAACCTTTTGAAGCTGTATTGTATTGTTAATGTTTTATAAGGTTGTTCAGCATGTTAAATTAGTTAAAACAGCCTTTTAATCTTTTAGTCTTCTAATTTTTTTACAGTCACTCTTGACGGTCATTCAAAAGATCTAGTCTCAATAAGTTATCCGTTTTCCGTTGCTGTCACTGACAGGTTGTAGCTTGTGTTACACTTTTATAGTTATTATGAAAGAATGAATTATTAGGGATATTATTAGGGGATATTAGTGAAAATTACTTTACCTTTCAAAAGTTTGGGGTCAGTAAAATTTTTTATTGTTTTTGAAAGCCGTTTGTGCATTTATTTGATAAAAAATACAGTAAAACAAAAATATTATTACAATTAAAAATAACCCTTTGCATTTTTAATACTAGACACCATTTATTTGAAATAGAAATGTTGTAACCAATTTAATGCATGCTTAGTATTAAGTATTTTTTTTTTTTTTTTTTTTTATTTCAGTAAAACAATAATATTATTACAATTAAAAATAACCCTTTGCATTTTTAATACTAGACACCATTTATTTGAAATAGAAATGTTGTAACCAATTTAATGCATGCTTAGTATTAAGTCTTTTTTTTATTTAATTTTTTTACTTTTGAGTGGTAGTGTATAATTTATTATTTAACCTATATTATTATTTAACTATTGCTGTTACCTGCAGAATTAATCAAGATCATCAAATGGGAAATAGTATTATAATGTCAGAGATATGATTTTTATGTTTGTTTGATTTATTTATTTAAAATTTTTTTTTAAATGCGTGCAGGAAAGATTAACATTGGCACAGAAAATAGCAGAGGAGCACCAGCAGTACCAACGTTGCGTTGATAAATTTCAAACCTGGCTGATGTCTAAAACAGAAGAAGTCAGCCGTTTCAGCGACATGGAGGATACGACACAAAATAGGCTGAAAGCCCTGCAGGTACAATGACCTACTTATTTGGGGGAGGGGAGGTCAGAATGGTCAACTGGGAAAATCATTCCTGTTTTGGAAGTCAAACTGTGGAGATGTCATTCCAGTTTAGCTGAGTACTTGCTAATTTGCGTCCTCGTTTTCACTTCGGGCTGCTGTAATAAAGGGTCATATGAAAAATCTGATTACTACGAATAAAACTATGAGCTGTTCACATCCTTGGACTCATTCTTTGTTTTCATAGTAACGTTAATACACTAAAAATACCTTGTTGTTGACAGGAAGGTACTTCACCACATAAATTTCTCTATTAATTCATCTAGCATTCCATATTAAAAAAGAAAAACGTCAACTATAATAAAATTTGTCAAGTTATCCTCCCTCACTGCCTCTATCCTATGCGGTTTCTTTCTTTGCCACAGTCGTGTTTAACTTGCTCACTGGGGATTAGGGAATTATCTTTTGTAAAGCTGCTTTAAAACAATATGTATTTTGAAAATTGCTATATTAATAAACTTGACCTGACTTTCACTGTTGATGCAGCTGCCATTTTGCATATATATTTATATGACAACGGTCAGAGTTAAATGTGGGACCAAAACGAAATGATTTTAAAAATGATATGACCCTGTAATTAATTTTTGTTATTATAGTTATTAATTATTTATAATAAATAACAATAATTTATATATATACTTATTAATATTTATTATTTAAATAGATCAGTATATTGCTTTAGTATGATATACTATTATAATATTTAATAATATTTTGAATAAGCTTTTATTTTTTTAATTTCATTTTTAACTTTAGCTAGTTTAAATAATTGTTATGTGTAATATGTTCTATATATAATTAATAATTGATTTTTAGTTTTAGTAAGTTTAGTACTTCAATTAGTTACCAAGTTTTTATTTTATTTCAGCTTTATTTCAATTACAATTTTTAATAGATTTAGTTTTAGCTTTAGTTAACAAATACAACACTGATTGTGTATGAAGTTTTAGTAATCATTGTGTATTCTATTTGCAGTAATTCTTAATTACTGGTCTGTGTACTGATACAGGCTGATGTCTTTGGCCATTGTATCACGTTCCACCTCTCTTAACGTTTAGAAGACCTTGTTGCAAAATATATTAAAAAGAATGTGAAATGTATTATAAATAATTCATTATTTTCTACCCATCCAACTTCTATCAGGAACTAAATGCTAGTATAGCCAAAGAAGAGCTCACTCTCCAGCACATTGAAAACCTGTCTGAAGCTGTGAAGACCAACACGTCTCCAGCAGGTGCAGAGGAGATCACAAAAGAGATGGAGGAGTTGAGGCAGGCCTGGCAGAGGTTACGCCAAGCACTGCTGGAGAATCAAGAAGAGCTCCAGAGCTCACTAGACTCTGAGAGCGAGTATTCAAACCGTTGTAAGGAGCTGTGGACGGACCTGGAGCAGCTTCGAACCTTGGTCCAGAACCTCAGCAGTGATCTGGAAAGCAGGGATGGAGAGAGAACTGAGGAAAATATGGTAGCTCAATGGAAGACGCACACGGTTAGCACTCTGTTCGTCTCTCTCACCACTCCCAAATAGTCTTCTTATGTCTTCTTGTAGGATACAGATGCAGACTCAGCATATTTTTGTGATGGCACATGATACCTACGGTGATTTAGGGAATGCCTTAGGTAAATTCCTGTGTGGGGTGAGACAGTAATTTGAGCCATAGTAAAACTAATTCTACAAGTTGTTTTTGAAAGAGTAATAGTGTGGCATACCTCCAAATTCACTATGAAGTTTTGACACTTTGTATGCTGTATTTCAGTGCAAATGACCTGAATCTTATTCACTAACTGCAGTAGACATTAGTATAGGGCTTCATTATACGCTATCCACTTTTTCTATCTAAATTCGACTTATTAGACGTTGAGATGCTTTAGTACTGTCTGTGATTTAAACATCATTAGCAAAAATGGCATCAAAGGTTGTATGTACATTTAATCCTATATTATGGCATAATATAGGCCTATGTGGTAAAAATAGCATTTTAGATAATTTTAGATATTGTTGACAATATTGCTGTTTAAAATTACTACTTTAGTACATGCCGATAGCCTAGCCGGCAAGTGCGCTGACATATAACGCCATTGGTGTTAAGGGTGTCCCAAGTTTGAATCCAGGCTTGAGGACCTATCCCGATCCCATCCTCTCTCCCACTTCGCTTCCTGTCTGCTCTCCACTGTTCTATCATAATAAAGGCAAAAATAAATCTGAATTAAAAAACAAAAAAAAAGTACGTTATGCATTTTAAATGTTTCATTATTGCATGACAATCGTGAAATGTTTTGTTCTTGTTTTCATTTAGTAAAAAAAAAAAACTTTTAAGCCATTTCAGAAAAAAATATTTACACGCGTGTGTGTGTGTGTACACTTTATTTCAGTCCATCAAAGTAACCAATTAGATCAAGTTTGCTGTAAGCAGTGGGGGAAAACCAACAAGGATGAAAATCTTTTTTAGATCAATGAAAGCTGTCTGGACCCCATGTGGAGAAATTCTGCGTTTATGCCCTGCTTGAATGCCCTGCCTTCAAACACACTATGTGTGTGTACTTAATTCATTGATTAGTTCTCTACGTCCACATTTCAGGGAGTGCGCAACAAGCTCATTGCAGAGGAGCCCAGGGTGGAACAGCTGAAATCCCGGTTGAAAGAGCTATTCCGATTCCCACAAGACTCCAAAAGCCTGTCTGATGAGATGCTAGCAGTGGTGAAAGAGTACCAGAGGTGAGCAGCAACCACACGCAAAGAGCATCTAGCAAAGGAGGAATGAGCCAAGGAGAATACTTTGATGGATATTTTATTAATCATTAGCTATTGATAATGTCGTTGGTAAACATTCTGTCATGCAGACACAATGGGAGGCTCGTCATGTAGGTTTCTGTCCTCATTGTGTTACTGTCAACGTGATGTCAAGTCACACAAGTCTAGTCAGCCGTAAACAATGTGTATCCAGCCCTAAAAGAGTGCTAATGTAAGCACTTCAAACAATTAGTGCATTACACACAGGGTTTACTGCAGTTATTTATTCAGTTGTTTGGTGGCAGCCATCTGTTGAAAGCTCTATAAGCTCACACTGTGTAGGACTACTAAGTAGAGTTGTTTTGTGTTTCCTGTGGCAGTGTGAAAGGCAGATCTTTTAGGCTGTCCTCTGAGAGTGAGATGGCTCTCCGGCAGATACTGCAGGATCCTCTGTATGGCTTCAGCCAATGGAGTCAGGTGGTTTCTCAGGTCCTGGAGGCCTCTGCCGAGGTGACGGATTTCTCCCAAATTGCTCTGCTCGTGCAGCATATAGAGGTAAATTATTCAACGTTTTTATGTTTCAAATAAATGCAAACTTTTTCAATACTGTATTTTTGATCAAATAAATGCAGCCTTGATGAGCATAAGAGACTTTTTAAAAAAATGTTTAAAAACAAACTTTTGAACAGCAGTGTACGTCTAAAACAATTTTTTAAAAATTAATTATGAATTGTACCGAAATAACCAATTTGTGATCAGACTTGTATGTGAATTAAATCATTCAGAGCAAATATTAAAGGGGTCATATGATGCTGCTAAAAAGGACATTATTTTGTGTATTTGGTGTAATGAAATGTGTTTATGCGGTTTAAAGTTCAAAAAACACATTATTTTCCACATACTGTACATTATTGTTTCTCCTCTAAGTTTTACAAAGCTCATCGGTCTGAAAAAGCGAGGTGTGCTCTGATTGGCCAGCTATCCAGTGCGTTGTGATTGGTCGAATACCTGAAGTGTGTGACGGAAATGTTACGCCCCTCACATACTGTTGATGCCATGTCCGGCCGGAGCGACGAGACATAAACATTAAAACCCATTACAAACGAGGCATTTGTTGCATCCAGTGGGGACATAATTACTGATTATAATGACTTATACTGTCTTTTTACGCGTTGTGTTGCGTTGCATTGCATCGCGCCGCGTAAACATAAAACTCTGTCTGCATTTGTGATCGGAGAAATGACAAACAACAAGTGCTACTCTACACTGCCCAAAACTCACATTTGAATCATCAGTGGCAACGAAAAACACAGCGGCCTAGCGTGAGGGGAAGCCCCGGCTTAGCGTGCTAGCGTGATAGAGTGAGTTGAGGAGGGCTGGACTTCGCTTTGTCCACGGTGAAAGTTGATGTATTCCCTCAGTGACCAGCACAGATCAGCTCTAGGC